TAGTGTTAGTTGACTGTTTAGTCAAACGTTAGTTTTTTCGTAAATGACCAATATGCCCTCTCAACTAAAAAATGTGTAAATTTCAAAAAATTATAACTAATTTATTTTAAATCCTTTTTGAGTGAACAAAATTTTATCAGAACCAGTGAAAAATGCTCTTTATATTAAAAATATTGTTGGAAAACTGTATGTTTCATGCTTACATTGAAAATTTATTTGTGATGGTAATGGCTAAAATTGCATGTGATGCAGAAAAAATCAATTTTCATATGTTGTATCCAGTAGCTATATTAGTACTAAAATACCTATTATTGGTTGTATACTAATTCTCAAGCGCAAATACGTCTTTTTACAATGAAGTTAACGGTCAACTGACGGCAATGGCATAAAAGGGAGGAAAAACTTGAACCGGTGGCATAAAAAGGAGAAGCCAATTTAAAGTGGCATATAAGGGAACCGGTTAATTTAGAGTGGTATATAAGGGATTCTCTCTTTTAGTTGAGAGGCTGAGAGCTAACATGGAGGTTGGGGCAATGTATTTCGGTTATTCTGGTATAATGCATTCCCTCGTATTGGTCAGTACAGTATTTTTATCATTACACTCCTCTTTTGATACAACTGGCATCACATATTGATTTTATTTTTAATATTTGATGGGAGACACAATTATTTAGTACAATATATTACTTGAAAATTCTATATGGCACGATGGGTATGGACACATGATTGAATGGTGCACCCCCTCTAATTCTCTCTAGCTCTGCCACTGGACGTGGAGGAGGATGGAGACGGCGGCTCGGTGCGGTGCGGCTTTCTCGCGTGCGTGTGTTGCAGGTTGGGTTGGGGTAGCACACGGCGTTGTACATGATGCTCGCTGGTTCGGCGTGCCAGCCTGCCTGGCTCGGCATGTCACTCCGCCTGGCTCGGCACTTCGTCGAGCAGGTGGTGTGCATGTGCAGCCGGCTGGCTGGGGCAATGCCGCAATGGACGAGGGATAACAGACTTGGGCTACAAGGGGGGAGAGGGAGTGGGCCGACCTGGGGCCTGGATGAGGGAAAGAGAGAAACAATGGGCTGGCTGGATTGAATAGGAACATTCATATTTGCTAGGAAAAAGTACACCGATGATCCCTCAACTTGTTGTCGGGATAAAAAAACATCCTCGAACCGCAAAACCAGATATGCGGGGTACCTTAACTATATAAAACCGGTCACCTAAGGTCTCTCCGTGATTTTGACCCCGGTTTTGGTCTACGTGGCGGCTGAGTCAGCGTGGGACCCACGTGGGCCCCACATCTTAGGTGTCCACATCACTCTCTCTCTTTCTCTGTTTCTCTTTCCTTCCTCTCTCTCTACTCTCGCACTCGCATGGACGGCGCCGCGGAGGCGGCCAGGAGGGAGCAACGGGGCACACCGTCGATGCGGCGGCGGAGGAGGAGGACGTCGGCCACCGCGCTGCGGTGGGATCTGGCGGGGAGAGCGTTTCTTGGAGGTGGTGGTGACGAAGGGAAGGTGAGGGTGCTTGCGATCGATGGCTGCGGGCCGGGTCCAGGTGATGCGCTGCTAGCGGTGGCGGCGCTGGTGAGGCTGTAGACGGCGTTGCGGGAGAAGGCCGGGGATGGTGATGCGAGGGTGGCGGATTTCTTTGACGCGGCGGCGGGGGGCGGGGGCCGGGGGCATGTTGGCGGTGATGTTTTTCTTGAAGGGGGCGGATAGGTGGCCGAGGTACATGGCGGCGGACGCGCTAGCGTTCGTTGTGGCGAGCCTCGGGAAGGGCGGGTGGTACGGCGGCGAAGGGAGGAGGAGGTGGGTGGCAGAGAGGTCGTCGCTGCGGCGGGTGTTCGGCACTGTCACGTTGCGTGACACCGTCGCGCCGCTGCTCGTCCCGTGCTATGACCTCGCCACCGCGGCGTCGTTCCTCTTATCCCGCGCTGGTGCCGTTCCTCTTCTCCCGCGCCAACGCCGTCGAGAGGACAGCTTCGATTTCAACGGATGACAGCCGTTGTCGTTGTTGTCATCACCGTCCCCAACCTCCTCGCCGAACGACACCATCCAGAACACCGCGCGTGACTACGCCGTGTGCCTGCTCGAGTTCGTCATCGGATGTGCCGCCTCATCGTCGCCCGCTCGACCTCCTCTCCCGCCGCCGCGCCTCGACCCGTCGCTTCCCCCACCAGCGTCGCAGCCCTCGCACGGCCATTGCACGCCAACGCTGTTCTGCGCCGTTCCCGCTGCACGGCACGGCGGCAGAGCGCGGCGGGGACGCGGATGGCCGCGAGGATGACGAGTTCGACAACGGCGAAGGGGAAGCAGCAAAAAACTGCGGTGCACTCCGCCACCGTCCCGCCCGCCACCTTCCCGCACCGTGGCTGCTGCTCCCGCGCCCGCCGCTGCTCACGCTTCCTCCTCATCTCCACGGCTAACGACCTCCTCAGCCTTCTCGACAACAACCCATTCCCCACCACCGCTAACGCCGCCGCCGACGACACCGCCCCCGCGTGGAGTGGTCCGGAGAACCATGTCTTGAGCTCGCGCCGCCACGAGCCCACGCGCCGCCTCTCCTGACTCACCCTACCGAGCTCCGGGCCGACCACCACCCTTCACTGCCAGAGTCGCGACCACCGTCGCCTCGCCAGCTCGCCGCTCAGCGCGAGTGAAGGGATGGAAGAGAGAGACGAGAAAGGAGGGGAAACAGAGAAGATGACGTGTCATACTGACATGTGGGGCCCACGTGGGTCCCACGCTGACTCAGCAGCCACGTAGGATAAAACCGAGATCAAAACCGCTGAAGGACCTATTGTGACCGGTTTTACATAGTTAAGGGAGCCCGCATATCTGGTTTTGCGGTTCGAGGACGTTTTTTTATCCAACAAGTTGAAGGACCTTCAGTGTACTTTTTCCTATTTGCTAAGGTTTTTGGAATTTGTATTTGAAACTTGAATTGTATAATTGTAATTGGACTGTACAAATGAATATTTGTTTGAATTTGTAACTGCATTGTGAATATGGACTTTTGGATTCAAATTTGACATTTAGATGGGCAAGGATCAATCTTAGAAATTTCCCTGAATTTGCTTGGATGGATGGACCATGTTATTGAATAGGGATTTTAGGATTGACGCCCGATAAACGAATCCCTTGGAAATTGTAGAACTTATGATGGAAAGACCTAACTTAGGGAAATTCGTATAAAGTAGGAATCGAAGAAAAGGGGTCCTGAGGAACGTAAATCTGAATAAATGGAGTTGGGTTTAGACTCAAATTTGGTGTTCAAAAGATTCAAGGACAGCACGCAACATTGCAATATTCTGAATGGGTGTTGGGTCTTTGATAAGTTCCAAAGGCATTGCGATTTATGTAATAGATGGGGAAAGGAGAGGACGAAGAAAGGATGTCTAACGGAGGGCATCCTTTAGAGTTAAAGCAATCGATTTAATCGAGATCTTTGGCACAAAATTAAACACACTCAAATAATAACAAATTCTATTATGCGGGCTGGGCTAGGACTTTCAAAGAGGGGAAAAAGACTTTATCTGAGAAAGACATTTTCTTTTAAAATAGCCTATTATATTTCACAAATAAGGTTTTTAGTAAATACTTTATTAGTAGCTGTTATTTGCAAAATAACTCTCATTGGACTTAATCCTTTTAAAGGAAAGTATTTTTAGGAAATAATCAAAATTTGTCAGGGTTACGGATAAGGCATACCTCTTATCCTATGACTTATGGAATACGCGGATATAGTATACCTTCACGTATACGGATCGTTTTCGTATATGCCGTTGGAATTTGTTGCAAATTACGGAAAATATCTCCACGAGTCAAGTGATTTCCAAAGTCCTACTCGGAAGGAATAGAATTTCTGTTATACTTGGGGATCAAGATGATCCACGGTATAAAAGAGACCCCTAGGGAGGGGTGCAAGGCATCGAATTTCATCACCTACACACCCACAATAGTTCAGGAAGCCAGAGTACGCGGAGTCAAGTCGCCGGCAGATCTTGTTAAGTACATTGACTATGATCTCGTTGGTATCGTCTGTTTTGTTTACTTCCTTTGTAATCTGTGGTTCTTCATCATCAATCTCATATGGGCTATTACCTGATAAGGGGCCTGAACCAGTATAATCCTTGTCTGTTGTTTGCTTGATATCGTATTACGTAAATCCTCATTCCAACATACCCAATACCCAAATCATCCGGTCTACGAGCATCACTCGTCGACAAAATTATGTTTCTTTGTAAAATAGTATCTGTTTTAATGAACTACCCCTTAGAGGTTTTTCATCCAAAATTGTAATATATAACTTTATTTATAAAACAAACAAGTAAGAGAGGTTCTAATACATAAAGGGTTTTTAGGAAGGGTTTTGTAAATACTTTCTTACTTAACATATTTAATAATCATGGTTCTTTCAATAAATAATATTTTCAAACCAAAATATAAGCATATTACCCTTTTAGTCCCAAGCACAGTAGGAAAATAGGAAATAAATTCCAACAAATTCTGGCATGAACGAATTTAAAAAAAAACATTTTTGATTATTTTGAATTTTATTTTCGTGTTCCAAAGTCAAAATTTTTAGGTGTTACAGTTTGCCCCAATGCCTTTGGAGGGAATTTAATTTAGTTTTTAATTTAATTAAATATCGAAGTGATGTTTGTATTAATAAAATTAGCTATTGAGCTTTTAGGGTAGACTAGAATGCCACTTGTGCAAGGGGTTCTATCCATGTTTTCAAAAATTAGAGGATGTTGGATATCTGTTTTAGAGGGTCTTTGGGAGAGTTTAGCCTCTCCCTCTAAACTATAAGTCTCTAGGGGAGGGACTTATGTTTTTTAGACATAGGCTAAAGTTTAACTCCTCTCTCCCAAACACCCCTTAAAGATTGAGGTATATTTTTTTAGACAAAGAGTTGAGCGGCGTAAAATAATAAAATAGACTTGTCCCCGAGACCGAGGACCTTAACTCGAAACCGATCTCGTTTACCACCTATCCAACGCAGGTCGCAATAAAAACCAAACCTTTCTCCGTCTCTGTCTCGTTCTCCCTTCTCGACTCATCTCCTTTTCCTTCTGATTTCGGTTTCCACGCCCAATACCGTGTGCACGCCGGCGCTACTCGCTGCAATACAAAACCCTCTCGCCTAGACTCGCCCCTCGATCGAGTCATCGAGCCATGGAAAGCCCGCCGCACGCCACCGCCTCCGCCGACGAGATGCCGAGCATATGGAAGGAGCAGCACGCGCAGGACGCGCCGCCGGGGTTCGTGCCGCCGATGGGCCCCGGCGAGGTCGCCGCCGTGGAGTCGCTCCTCGGCTACGAGTTCAGGGACAAGGCGCTGGTGGAGGAGGCCCTCACGCACGGCTCCTTCTACTACCCCTACCGCCCCGGCGTGACCTACGAGCGCCTCGAATACCTCGGCGACGCCGTGCTCACCTGCGTCGTGTCGCGGGAGGTCTTCCTCACCTACGGCCAGCTCCAGCCGGGCCCCCTCACCCGCCTCCGCGCCGCCAACGTCGATAAGGAGAAGCTCGCGCGCGTCGCCGTCGTGCACGGCCTCCACCACTTCCTCCGCCACAAGGCACCCAACCTTGACGGCCAGGTACGCGCCGCGGGACCGGAGATCTGCAGCCATTTCTTTGCTTTGCTTCTCACGCGATGATGTTTGCCTTTTCATGAAGACGACAAAGAAAAGAAAACAGAACTTTTATTGATTGGACCCCGGGGACTGGGCTCATACAGTGAAAGGGGAGGGGAGAATCTATTTTGTTCTGCATTCTGATTTTTGTCCATAGTATCCAGCGTACGCTGATAAATGATTAGCTAAACCTGATACCTTTTTGTGGATTCTGATACTCCGTTGTCCTCTAGCTCAACAATTCAATTAGTAAAATTTGCCATTACAGACCACTATATTGATTCGGAATTTCGGATTCCCAGACCATTGGCATTAAAGGGTAGAAATCTGTTTCTGTTTTCTCTTGCTTGTTCACAGTCCTCCAGTTTCTAAGAACATGTTATCTCAAGAAATGAGTATAGGCTTACGTTAGTTGAGAAGTTTGTGACCTTTTCATGAATTTTTATTCCATACTTGTAAGTGTTTAAGGGTTGATTGGCGAGGGATCCCGAATATACGAACTGCTTATTTGAAGTATCATTACTTTGCTCCAATTGGTGTAAAGTCAAAATTCTGCAGCTTTCTTTTGTTTTTTGGCCTCCTCGGCTCACCACTTGTTTGGTCCCCTATCAAATTGTGGTGGTTCCTTGGAAAGCAATCAAAGCACAATTTACCGTTTCAACTACATGGACGAGAAAATGGTTCATAGTTTTACCAATTGTATTTGACTTTACGGGCACCATGCATTATTTGCGGTGCGATAACATGTTTTTACCATTGACAAGCATATCTAGCTAAATGGATGGTCCCTTTTGCTCTTTGTGCCAAATTAACAACATATATTTCCTAATGGGTGCTTACTCTGCATGGAAAAAATAAAATTTGGGATTGACTTTCTAGCATGTTAATCTTCTACGTTTGACAGTATGTTTTGCAAGTAGCATTATAATTCAAATTTTTTTGCATGTTTTCGCCTAGTCAAGATGTATATGCACTAGGGTAACCAGATGTTATGTACTATACCGAGTTTACATTTTTTTTAAGAAAAAGAAAATATGTCATGTCCTTTTTGTCTCAAACTAGCATTTAGTATATTGTAGTGGAATATAAGTGCCCCAGATTTATATTCCCCTATGCTTACACCACCCATGGTGATGAATGGTGTCTCCGCTCTAAATGTTTGGGTGCTTTTGGGATATCTACAAATTTCTTTAAAGCAGGCTTCCTGAATGAGCAGATTAGGCAAACATTAAGTGTTGTAAAAAATAGAATATGGTTATTTATAGGAAGCAACCTGTGAATCAGAACGTGGTTGATTAGTTAGAATTGTCTGATAGGTTATGTATTAATTTGCACTGATATAGTAATATATTCAAAATATATAACGAAATGAACTAAGGTAAGTTTGTAAACCAAACACCTGCTCTTCAGAAAGAATTCATGATGACCAAAGATCCAAAAATCATCTAAGTAGATGTACTAGTAATTAGCTATCCCTTGCTTAGCAACGTTTGCTGGCAGTGGCAAAGCCAGGATTTGAACATGGAGGGGGACTAACTTGACAAGAATCAGGAAAGACGGAATCAGAAAAGCGGTTTAGCCACTGTTTCCTATATGTTACTTTTTCATCACAAGAATCAGAAAAGACAGAATAAATATTCATATTTGAAATATTTACATGGTTTCCAAATTCAATCAATGGATGGATTTTGCACCTTCATTTTTCAGATCCATATCAAATCATCTATTGAATTTCAATATATTTGCATTCATAGTCAAAACTGCTTTCTGTTCATCAACATGCAGCCCTGAACCTAAACCCCAAAAATTGAAGTTTTGTTCTGTACCTCATGATGAACCCCCAATATTTTACAAGTTCTTTTCTTAATCTCCCAACTGACATTGCTTTTCTCTTCAGTCTTGATATCCGCTTTGTGCCTTTCTGTTTGATCACTTGTACACGATATTTGTTTTTTTTTGTTGTTTTATACTAGCTGTTTTTCAACAAAGTCAGGGGGAAGAGGAGGAACCATGCTACCAACATAATATATTTATATAATGAAGATGTTGACATATTGTGACATATGATTGATGTGTTCCCTTCACTTTGGCATTTACAGATTACAGATTTCATAGAAGAATTGTCGATGTACCCAATTCACTCCAACGGATTATTGGATCCTCCAAAAGTGCTCTGTGACGTTGTGGAATCCCTTATTGGTGCCATATATTGTGACTCCAACTTCAACCAAGAAATAGTTTGGCAGGTATTTGCACGTTTATCTCTGAATTGGAAGTACTTTGCGTTTATCCACATTCTGGACTGAAATCATAATATTTTGTCATATAGGTTTTTCAAAAGTTGGCTGATCCACTTATTAGTCTTGAGACATTAGGCAAGCATCCTGTAAGCGAGCTTTTTGAGTTTTGCCAAAAAACTCGCCGAGGTGTGAAAATTGTGAAGGATGAATGGGATAAGAATTTGACAGTTGAAGTATTGATTGACGGTGAGATGGTTGGAAGGGCAACTTATGCTCAAAAGAAGGAGATAGCGCAGAATCGTGCTGCAAAGGCTGCTCTGGATAAATTAAAGGAGACATTGGGACAATCCCAAACTGAACCAATGTCAGCAGAAGTTTCCGAACAATTCAATAAAATAGATCTAACTGGAAGTTGAAAAGTTCAGTGCAGTGGCAAACCAAGGCCTCAGGCCACCTAAGGCTATGGGCTTGGCCTGGGACAGAAAGTCCATTGGATTACCTGTTTTTCTTTTCTTTTTTTTTATAAACAAATCTTACTGCTTAGGATGTGGCTCATCCCATAGAGTACCAGCCCGGTACTCGCCTAAATCCTATTGGTCTGCCGCTGGTTGGGGCTAATCATTCATCGATGTCAAAAAAAGTAAGGTGGATTTAGATAACTAATTCTTTTACATTTTATTTTATTAAGTTGAAATGTAATTATCGATATGTAAAATATATTGAAATCATTATCAAGATTTCATAAGCCAATGGTTTTTCTAAGTTAACTTGTTAGGTGTTCGTGAGTTGCAACAGGAAAAGAAGTATGTATCAATTTAGAATCACATCATGTAAACCTTAATAATCTTTGAGCGTACATTTATAGTAAAAGAAACCTTAATATAGCATGAACAGTAGTATTACCTAACATATAGGAAGTGTTTGAAACTCATGAAGATGAATTACTCTCTCCGGGTTGATAATATTTGTCGTTTTAGGCAAGAACATAGTCGTTATTTTTCATTATCATATGTATAAAAGTGTTAACAAATATATGATTTTATTAAAATACTTTTTAAAAGTAATCTATACATGTAGTCGCCATATTTGAAAGATGAATATTTTAAAAATAATTCATAATTAAAGATTCTAATGTTTGACCTCACACATGTCTAAAACGATAATTATTATCAGCCCGGAGGGAGTAAGTTGCCACACGTAAAATGAGAAAGCTATTTTTTTTTTAACCAAAGACAGTGGGGGAGGCCCCCACGGTATATTAATTTTTCAGAAATATGTACAAAGAAGGTAAAAGACAAACAGGGAAGGAAAAAAACAGTTAAGTTACAACTGATCAATCCATGATTGAACTAGGGGCCTGTAGCATTCTTTGAGCCTAATTAAATGTAAGCTCAAATCTAACTTCAAGTTCATCAACCAGTTTTGCACTGAGGGTTGGACGCCCTTGAAGATAAGTCCATTCCTCTCCTTCCAGATATTCCATGAGGCAATTAAGAATAGCTCTATAAAGCAAGGATGCAAGACAACCACTTTTTGAGCCTGGATCCTTTGATAAAAATCCAAGTTAGGGTTCCATGTCCATCCCAGACGATTCCAACAAGCCGAACTAAAAGGACAAAGGAAGAACAGGTGATTTCTAGTTTCTCTAGCATCATGATTAATTAATTTTTAATTATTACAAACTTGACAAATGAATATATTTGATATTTTAAAGTAAACTTTTATATAAAAACTTTTTGCATGGAATATACCTTTTAGTAGTTTGAAAAACGTGTTAACAGAAAGTGAGGTAAAATCTGTATCTTCACGAGAAAAAAACTGATCCAAAGCAAACTGTTGAAATTATAAGCACATAATGATTTAATTTATTCCATAAATAAATCATGACATTGCAGATGTAAACTAGATTGAACGCATCATTAGATCTACACATGTAAACTAAGCAGTAAAACATGAACAGATCAAATATGCGCAACATGTCAAACACGTACCGAAGTGGCGGAAAGACCGGTTGCTCGGCAAGAACTACTCGCGGTTGCGAGCGTCGACGAAGTCACGAAGCACGCAAGCGGAGAGGAAGGCGAGCCGTCGCGGACGAACAGGGAGCAGTCGCACGAAGCGCTTCCCAAAAACCTTATTGCCGCTTTCTCCCGGTGCAGGACGTCGAAGGCAGAGGTTCCGGAGACCTGCGTGTGTTGCGTGAAGGTGGCGGCTCGGTTTATATAGAGATAGATCACCTGATCAGGGCGCCCGCGTAAACCGAACCGGATAAGTCGTGCGTAACCTATCCGGACTCCATGCCGTTTTCACGCACCGGATTTTTCGGAATGTTTCCAAAACAAAACAAATCCGAATCCCGCAGCAAAACAAAACTGCAAACGGAGGCTGCATCTGCGCAAGGGTGAGGAGCCAATTTTGCAGACCATTCGACGCGTACGTCGTGCACGCGCGCCGCCTGCCCTGCCCTGCGAGGCGAGGCGAGCGAGCCCGCGCATGTGTTTCCCCTCTTCTCTCCACCACACATGCTTCAAGTGGCTAGGAGGGCATCCTCCCTTTTAAGGAGGTCCCCCTCTCCTAGAATAAGCAAGGTGGTACTAAACTCCACATGCATGCCATCCCATGAGGTGGGTGTAACATCCTGAAAATTCACAATAATAAAAATCACTAAAATTTTGAACTTTTTAAAACTTTTGCATCATGCTGGTTGTTACGATCGCTATTGCTTGCCAAACCATAAATAATCACAAAGAAAGTAAAGGAAAGATCTACATTTAAGCAATAGATATAATTTACGACAATATGTTATTTATTATTAACCCTACAAATATTAGTACACATGAAATAATGATCACAGCAATGGCCTCATCTATAATAGAGTATCTCACTAGAATATATAATTAATATGTGAAACACCTTATCAAGCTCCTCATAACATGAAAATCACTCATATAAAATAATGGTCATATAAATAAATTAAGCTTTATATATAAATAAGATTATGTGAGTTTTAATTAAACAATTAGATTAATGTCGTACCGAGTCTCAATTTACTATTTACAGAATAAATGAATTAAGTCTATCCATGTAAACTATATTGCTATACAAATAAATTCGACCAATCTACCATTGTATTATTAAGAACACATCGCTATATTAAATTGAATATTACCCCAAAAGTCTTCAAAGATATATAAGTTCACTTTAGGGCCAATAATTTAAATTAATCTAAAAAGAATTTATTTGTGTGATAAATAAATAAATATGGGTGGTAATAATTTTGGATAAATTTTCATGAGGATTTAGTGCTTAAATTTAGTTAACATTTATCTAAGTAAAATTAGAGCTTATAGGATTAAAATTGTATAGGAGATAGGCTAAGAGATGATTAGTAGGAAAGGACACTGTTCATTGCACATGAGGTGTTTGATGGAGTTCCTAGCCACCCTAGCCCTCTTCCTCCCCGCTGCCACGCGCCAACTCGCACCCCGCGCCGCCGCGTCATGTCGCGTCGCCGTCGCCGCGCCATCTCCAACCCGCCGCGTGCTGTCGCCGTCGCCGTCGGCTGCGCCACGCCGAGCCCCGCGCCGCTCGTGTCACCATCGCCGTCACCCGCGCCGCGCCGAGCCCCGCGCCACTCGTGTCACCGTCGCCGTCACATCAGTGCCTCGCGCCCCGTGCGCCGCTGCCGCCATCGCGTCGCGCATGCGTCGCCGTAGCTGCCGCACCATCGCGTCGCCGCGTATCGCCATCGCCGCCTTGAGCCCCGCGCCGCCGTGCGCCATCATGTCGCTCTCAAGCCCGCCACTTGCAGCCTGAGCTTGGCCATGGCGTTGCCATGCCGCAACGCTCGCCCCTGCTCCGCCTTGCGCCGCCGCCGAAATTGGAGGGTCGCCGGAGCCTCGCGCACCTTTCCCGGCCGCTGCCGTGCCGGTCTCGCGCCGTCTCGGCTGTGCCCAGCCGCGCCATGCGCGCTGCCTCTGCCCGGCTGGAGGAAGAAGACGACGGGAAAAGAAAGAACGAGAGAGAGAGCAGCCGGGCCCACCTATCAATGGTTCATAGGATTTGCTTTAGAAAAATAATCCGATAGGAAAGCAAATACAATCCTAAACCCCACATGTCAGTCACTTGGAGTTTTGGATAAAGTTTAGGAATAAAAATAATGAATTAGGAACAGTACCATTTCGCAATTATTAGAATTAATTCAAATTTGAATCTTTACACTAGCATAACTTATTCATTTTAACTCGGATTCGAGTGAAACTTGAACCTAAATTCATCTAAATTCATAAGCTTTCCAATGATATATAATTCACTATTTAATAAAATATATTTATAAATATTAAATAATTAATATCAAGATGATGCATAATAGTTAACTTAAAAATGTGCTAATAAATAAAATTGATATTGTACTGTAAAGTAGATGTCAAATAATTGTCCTTAACACGCTTTCTCACTGTAAAACCTATGTAAACTAATTAGGAGCATTGTTTCAAATTAATTAAAGCATAGGAAATACTAGTGCCATTTATTAATATATGTCAATATATAATTATACTCATGACATCCAAATTGTATAAATAATGTTTAGCCTCATACTTTGTGACTAAAAGTTGAACACACGTAGATGAGTCTTTAACTTGTTTATGAGAGATAATAACAGAGCTAGTGTGACTAAAATCACCCGCACGAAATTAATTAACGGCATTTCCTATACAGTAGTATATATTTAGGTTGAAAATCGACCCTTAAGTTGTATAGACGGTAACTCACTCATAAATCCACTTAAAATCACATGTACTGTGTAGCTCGTAGTAAATAGCAACTATTCAAATAAATGATTCAATATTAAGATATTGTGCACACACCTATACTGTACATCCCATTATAACTATACGGTATAGTATTAATTTGCTTGTTGCATATATTAAATTAGAGGGACTATATGACAAACATGTATATTAGATAAATACTAGTTATAAATCTTGACCTCATATAATTATAATTATAGTTCAACTGTAAATTAGGATTATTCATTGTAAAATTATGTGATGGGATAATCTGTAACCATAATATGATTAACCTAAACAACTCTAACATACAAAGCATGGATAATTATTAACCTTTTATAATTTATTGTGACAAGTAAAATATGTTCATAATTAAAGTAAAGCCTCCATCAATTAAATAATAATACAAATGATTCATTATTTGATTGATCCTAAATCCATCTAACAACAGAACCTCTGTTATGTAACCGTGCTATTTAGATAGATGCATATATAGCCATAATCCTTCCATAACCATTTGATAGACTAAACCACCGATTAGCCAAATATATATGTATACCATAAATGCTATGTTGGTTAACTCCTAAATAGACCACGATGGCAACAGAAAGATTAAGAAACTTTAGCCCTTAGCATGATTGGAATCCATTAGCAAACACGAATAGTACATTTTGTTGTGCATATTTGATTGTTGTTGAATATTGGTTTTTCTCGCGTATTATAGACCTTGTGTATCGGTTAGTCTTGAGGCAACGTATGCAACTTCCAGGAGGTGAAGGTTGATCAAGAATTATATCAAGAATAAGGATTATCCTGAGCAGGCAAGTCATCACTATTCCTTGAACATGTTGATCCCAATTGCGAAATTGTTTTGTTTACAAATAAAATTGCATGCAATGATGAACATCCTACTTGTGATTATGCCATGCCTTGATTATTGTTTACCCTTAAATCTTTGTAACCATGATTACGTATGA